ATCTGCACTTATGTGCAAATCAGAAAGACAGTGTACAGAACATAAGACTAAAAAAGACTGCAAGGATTAAAAGACAAGACTTGTGCAACAACACACAGTATATTCATATGGGGTATTTTAAGTACAAATATCAACAGTGGAAATACAGAGCAGAAAAATAGACAATGTGTAATTAGATAAACTGTATACCTTAATTTTAGCAGCAACAGAATGCAATTAGCAATAAAATGCATGGGGAGTCTATCGGTCCCCAACGACGCTCTTCCACATAACTGTCCGTATATGTTTATCCTTTGTGTATATTTGCATGTGTCTGTCCTCATTGCCTACAATGTTTGCTTTAACTTAACTGCAATCCCCCCTCCTAACTTGGAGTAAGATAATAAAAATGCTTTTAGACTGTACAGTGCAATGAAATGAACAGCTTGATTAGTCAAGGTGATAATTAGAAGGTGTCTCAACATCTGCACAGCCCATCTGTAGTAAGTCACTGTCAGTGCCTCCGACCTTCCCCACGGGAGAGCAGCCAGTGAAATTGGTCAGTATGTCGTTAATGAAGGAGGGAAACTCTTATCGAACCAGATGCTGATAATTTGACATACCAGTCTTGCAGAAAAAGTGAAATTATTACTAATTTCCTAATTTAATTAATCAATTGATTTATTTTATTTTTAGCACAAAGGCAACAGTATCCTTCTTTCAAAACACCTCCATAAGGCAATGCAGGTCATGATAAGAAAAAATGTCCTGGTATTTAAGCTGGCATTTGTACTACATAATGAGGTATTTGCTGTTGCTGGGACAAGGGTATGTCCTGTGGAGTCAGCCATTGCCAAGGACAAAGAGACTCCTCCTGTCTTGGCCACCTTCCAGAATGTTCCGAGGGACAGAGAATCTGTGCTCTATGTTAGCTTTGCTGAATTAAAACACAATTGAACCATTTGTGATTAGTAATAGCTTTCTCGTTTTATTGTTCTTCATAAAATTTGCATTGCCTAAAATTAGCAAAGCATTAATAATTACCAACCTTTGTCTTTTGAGCATTTTAATAAAACTATCCTTAGACATTTGGCTAATTGTGAGTGAATTCCTCAACACTGAAAAATTTTCATCAATCCAATTTTTTGCTTCATGATGCTGATCCAGTATAAGGATTGTGGTGACATGGGGCCAATCCCACAGGGATAATCTCACGCACAAGATCAGGGACACCCTGGATGGGATGCAAGTCCATTGCAAGGTGCAGGGAAACATTTACTGAACACAATTTATAAACACAGATTCATCTAAGTTCTTGTCTATGTCATAGTCAGTAAGGAATGTTTTACACTCTGTAAGATACGCTTCATACCTAATCCTCCAATCTTACTTATGTTTAGCTCTAAAGCATCTTAACTGCTTAGAAACAAGAACATGTCAGAATGTTCCCTTGTTCACGAGTAAGTATCAAAGGAGCACTCTTTCTTCAGGGACACAATTCAGTGTGTGGTTTAATTAACTTCCTGGATTAATCTTTCTGCACCTCTGACCAAGATAAGCGGTGAGAAGATGGATGTATTAATCTTTGGAAGAGGAGTATGATATTCTACTGAATTTAGAAGGACTGATATCATATCATGTTATGGTTATTTTATTTGCACGTTTTGCTCATTTCACAATAATAACCTGTTTTCTAATGATTAGGTAAAGGGCAGTACTCTGCTGAACATAAGACACAACAGAACCAGACCATTTCCTAAGCTCCCACAGGAACCTTGAGATGCTCCCTTTAAAGAAACAGCAGCTTCTCAAATGTACACATCAATCCACAGAATTTAAAAAAACGAATGCAGCTACTTAATGAACAGAGAAAATACTGTCTGTCTGTGACTGCTACTTGAGTTTGTTCTCTTCACCTTGAGCCTCCTATCCTAAAATAAGTGTTGTCATTTAAGTAAATGCATTAATTTAATGCCCCTCTTATGAATGAAGATCTGATCTAAAAATGTCCCAAAAACAGATGGGTGTCATTTTTAGGCACTTTTTGGAATTACTGTGAGCCTATTGTCTGGTGCCTGATAATTGAAAACAATCTGGCCGTCTTACTTTTTTAGATGCCCACGGAGCTAATGTGCATAGGTTGAACCCCCTGGTAGATGTAACACATTGTTTGTTATAATCTTAGATCCACTTACTGCTCCTGTTGCACTGGGCGTTTTGTCAAATTTGAGATTTGACACTTGGCGGCTGTAGAATAGAAATGAATATACTTCCATTCATGAAAAAGTAGCCCTTGTTTCTCCAAATTCCATCTATCCATCCATTATCCGCCGCTTATCCAGGGTCGGGTCGCGGGGACAGCAGTCAAAGCAGGGATGCCCAGACCTCCCTCTCCCCAGCCACCTCCTCCAGCTCCAGCGGGGGAATCCCAAGGCATTCTCAGGCCAGCCCAGAGATATAATCTCTCCGGCGTGTCCTGGGTCTGCCCCGGGGTCTCTTCCCGGTTGGACTTGCGCAGAGACATGCCCAGGGGGGCATCCTAGATAGGTGCCCGAACCACCTCAACTGGCTCCTTTTGGTCTGGAGGAGCAGCGGTCTGAGTTTGAGCTCCTCACCCAAATGTTTCCAAATTACTTACTGGAACTCTGGTGGCCTTTTCCAGATCCAGGAAACTGTTAAGTTCATTTTGAACTAGAAAATAAATAACTGAACTTTCTCTAGAAAGTACGTTATCTTATTGCACACAGCCAACCCCGAAACGGTCATTTTGATGGACTAAGATGGGGAGCAGACACTCCTTATTCCTGCCTCTGCCACATAAAACATCAATTAAGCTGAATAACAATTTTGCATCTTAAGAAAACCTAGGCATTAAATTAGAAAGAAAATTTTAATAGAAATATTAAGTATAAAACTAAGATTTCATGTGTATTAGAAAAAATGAGAAGCTGAGGTAACATTATATTTCATCCCAGATTCCACCCTTACTAGGTCTTCACCTGGATTACATCTATACACATCTCCTGTCTCCTGGCACTCTGCCCAAAGCCTTCCCTACTTCTCACACCACAGTGACCTGGGTGCTGGTGGACTCTCCTTACCTCGCCTCAGACAAAAGCTCCCCAACATCAAGCAAGCTGCCGTAAAGCTCAAAGACCGGCATTGTCTTCACCAGAGCAGCGTTTTAAGGCTCTCGTCTGGGCCTGCAGTCTCAGAGGCTTGGGTTTAATTACACTGTACTGCAGCCCTGCTGTCACGTGATTCTCAGCACGTTACTCAGAAGGTTCTAGATGCAAAAAAGATGATAGTGTTTGTGGGACTCAAAAGTCAACTTCCTGCACGTTTCTCCAGATAAAAGAAAGTGAGCAAAGGCTTCCTGTACCTAAGCCAGTATGGAGTATATAGTAATAAATAAATAAACACATTATTCCATGTAATAATTGGAAATGACTTTCTTCGAAACAGCGATATAATGAATCCTCATTAAACTCATGCGGTCCCACAATTTTAAAAATACTAGGGCCGGTATGCATAGAAATTTCACTCTTAAATGCATCACAATTCTAAGAGTGACGTGATTTTGCTCCTACTCCCAGACTTAAGAATAAGTGGCATGCATAAACATTATTAAGTGTTAAGACTTGGTCTCAGCTCCTAAATTATTTAAGAGAGCTGGAAAGGACCCCTAAGCCAGTTAGGAGTTGAATGATGGCAGCTGCACTACGCGCACCCAGACGGAGACCGCGCACTTTACGTCAACGAAAGGACGTCCTGCAGACGTACGACAATAATGAATTGATGAAAAAGTACAGGCTCGATCATGAGGGCATTCTTTTTGTTAGCAACCTAATTAGGAACCGGATACAATCTCCTACGTCACCTAAAAATGCACTTACAGTTGAACTGAAGGTGATAATGATGCTACGTTTTTGGCAACTGGAAAAATATAATAATAATAATTATTATTATTATCATAATCACCTATTATAGCGAGGGTCATGACAGCAATATAAGTAATGACACAAACCTGTAGCTTGCATGCTTGCTTTATAAACTGTGATTTCTTTTCGCGAGGTTGATAAAACATTATACCACCTTCTTTTTCACATTCCTCTGCTGAACGCCTTGTCCGAGGTGACGCAGCATTTACGGAGCTTGCAATAGCTTCCTAAGTTTTTTTTGTCCGTGCTTGTAACAGCTGGGCCAAACTTTCCTCGCACTACCTCCTTCCATTTAAGCACCAACTGTGCCAAAAAAACCGTTTTGTTTGTCGTCCAGTTTGGCTTGGATCCAATGTCTTGCTATGAGTTTTGCTTTTGACCCATAATTTATACAACATGTGCATCTATTAGTGGAAATTGATCGGTGATGTGCTAGGTATTTTTCCGTACAACCAATTAAAGGTATGATCACAGAAAGGTATGTTGTATAAAGCTCTACATTAACGGTTTAATGCCACTAATATATTCACCGTGCAGCTCCTCTATTGGTTGAACTAGTATTTGGGGCGGGATTTTATTTGTAGTCCTCATTTCACGACACTTAAATGCTGGCTCCGGCGGCACTTAGGAATTGGGCTTAGACTTGGCTGAAAGTTACTTTTAGCAGCTTTATACAATGCTCTTAGGTCCTACTTTTTGCTAAGATTTTTTTAAACTCTTAAGTGCAAGTGTACGACCATTCTTAGGAAGTTTTATGCATACCGGCCCAGGATTCATTATATCTACTCTTACACACACACACACACACACACACACACACACACACATATAGACACACACACACAGATACACAGATAAAAGGAGACTCCAGCCCCCATCCTCAGAAACATATGACATCATAGCTGCCCATCAGGATACCGTACTACCCAGGCACCACCTCCAGGCGGGACTGCTCAGCTTATATATACTTAAAGTTATAAATAAATAAAACAATCCACATTTTCAAGAAAAGTCTAGCAGAATTACACACTTTCTTTTGTGCCAAGTAACACATTACAAAAATACTCAAACATTTGGAAATGAAATTTTATATAAAAATGTCATTTTATTAACAAAAAAAAAAGAGTTCAATCTGAAGTCAGTTAAAATAGCAAGATAAAGACAAAAACTATACAACATACTACTTGTCAAAATAAAATATCTATACAGTACATGCATTACAAAAAAGCTGAATTTCATACATCTTTGTAATGGTACTTTTCAGTGATACTGGCAATGCTGTCGAGAGCGTTGAGGTTTCTCAGAACAGTCAAAGCGTCTGCAATGACCTCCCTGCAAGACAAAATACTTCAGTGCCGGAACTATCAAGCCCTGATTCCACTGCAATTAAACCCAGGGCACTGTTACCTTTGGCAGGTGATGTCCGGGTTTCTCTCACAGAGCGAATGTGTCGTCTGGAGGAGGTGACGGGTGAAGTTCTGCAGCTGAGGAATGGAAGAGTGACCTTCTGCATTCACAAACCAGGATTCTGGGAAACATGCCACCACCTATTTCAAAACAAATATTTGCAAGAGAATCATCTCACCATTGTCACACAATGCAGAACCATTTAGCTCTGTAACATGACCCATCAACATATGAAATGGAAATTTCAGTTTAGCTTTAAAATTTTTCTGTCAATCAGGAAAGTTCTCTCGATACCTTTTTGCACTTCTCCAGAGATTCCTGTTCAGGTGCTGCATTTAGAAGAACCATCATCAAGTAGCGATTCAGCAGTTTATCTAGTGCCAATTCCATCAGCACATTTTCTGGGACCAACCCATCCCATAAGGTAATGTTTCCAAGGAGCTAATGGATCACAAAACAAGTTTCTGTTGATCCAATCTATGCAATCAGATCAACTTAGATTTTAAAGTTCAACAAAAAGAAATATATACCTTCACAGCCGACCAAAATTGCCTGTCTTGAAATCTATATGCCTGCCAGGTTTTGTCATCCAAAAACCTGTATGAAATGAAATATACTTAAAAAAAAAATCAGTAGTTGTAACTTAAAAAAAAATCAGTAGTTGTAGCTTAGCCTGTAGCTTGAACACAAGGATATCAATAACGAAATTCAACTTGTTCATCATCAGCCTGCAAGAGGTTTTTTTCATCAAGAAAATAATCTGAGGCTTTTAATATCATCTACATTGCATAATTAACATTCATCACATAAAATTTACCATGAGACTGCAACTGAAAATTAACAAATCAATAAATTAATTGGGTAAATTAGTATCAATGACAAAGAGGCTCCGGTGACTTACTTTTTAGGATAAAGAGGAACAAAAACATCTTCATCCACAGCATTCCTCAGTCTTGTAGTAACAGCCTCCAGAAAAGCCTTGCAAGCAGATTTTAACAGGCTTAGAGCCTCATCAAATCAACTTCAGGAAACAGACCACATGAAAACAGCCATGCTAGGTACATAATCACTGTTAGCCAATAAAATCTCCACCTTAGCATTCTTGTTCTGTTCTCCATCAAATACATGGTAATCATTCTGTAACCTCTGGCAAAGGTCTGTAAGGCAGCGAGACTGTCCCGATGACAGAGGGTCCCAGGTAAGTTCCACAAAACCTGTGAGTGAAATAACAAAAACTGAAATCAGCTTGACAGAATGCTATCAAGACCATTTCAAGAAATTTTGTGTAAACAAATATGGAACTACAGATTGTATAAAGATCTGAGAGAGCTGACCTTCTATTTTCGGTAAGATGGTCTTCTGGATGATCGAAGGCAATGTTTCTTTGTCTGTGTTATCAGATTCCTCATATCCCTCGCCATGGCAGAATTTCTCGACTGCAGAATACCAGGGTAAGGACTCAAAGTCCTCACTGTCAACCTCAAATAAAACATAAAATACATTTTGAAAACTTTGCAGAACATTATAGGAAATAGTCATTGTGTATACATATAAAGAAATCAATGCAGAAATATCCATTTTACAGTAACGCTTTACCTGTTGGGGCACAAATACATAGTAACAATTCAGTTACTACTGAAGCACAAATCATGAAGAAATATAATTACTTTAGATAAATGATTCATTAATGATGAACAAACGAGTAATTTTCAGTTATTCATTACTTCAGTAGTTCAATAATAGTTCCTTCAGTAGTTCACAAAGGTTTACAAAATGAACAGATATAGTAAAAATAGTAACTGCTTAGTATAAAACATGTCACGATTCATTAATGATGAATTAACATGAGACCAGTATGTAACTAAAACTTAGTTTGTGCTTAATTAATACATAAGTAATAGTATAATATTATACTATCAGTGCACCGTCAAATAAAGTGTTACACATTATACAATGTACAGTACTCTCAATTTTTGTTTAAAGATGAAGTACCATTAATGGGTTCCAGCCAATTAACTGATGTCTGATGAGAGGACCCAGGAGTTTGGGTATACAGAGGCTAATGTAAGCATTGTAGTAGGACTCTGGGAACAAGACTTTCCACTCCGCAAACCGACTGAGAATCTTCTTAACATTTGAGAACTCTTCCTGAACATCAGCAAAGATCTCCTGCGACATCCTCAGTATTTCAGCTGGATGACAAAAGCGACAATTAATTAATAATAAAATAAATAATCACTATGCATAAAACAAACTAAGGTGGACTAAGAGAAACACTGATCGCCATCCAGTACATAAGTGACACTCTTACCTCTCTTTCTGTCCAGTTCCACTTTCTCATGTGTTAGTGGTTCACAGTCTGCCAAGTCACCCTCACAACCTGCTTCAAGGTCACTCTTCTGGCTGACAGCATTAAAATATTAACTCGTGTTATTCATGTGAACTGATATCCAAAGTCCAGTCATACACAAAATAAGTATATAATGACCAATAATTAGGCTGAAAAGAACATATTTAAAAACTGATAACCTTAGATATCTAGAACCTAAAAATACTTCCACAGCTGCACTACTTTAAACCTTTCAATGAGTCGGTCACCTCTGATCTATGACAAACACACTGTTCGTCTGACTTCTTGCTTACCTTTGTTCTGAGATCTCTGTGAGGTTTTTCTCTGCAACTTCAGTGATGACTGGATCTGTGTTATCTAGAGGATCATATAAAAATGACAATGACTGAAACAAGGCTTTGAAATAACAAAAAGTAACAAATTTACCAAGACTATTCTTAATGTTAAACAGAAACATATCAAAACAGTCAAGTTAAATTTCTGTTCAAATGTGCTGCATGCATTGTGGCACAGCCCAAAAACACAAAGCACACTCACAGACCAGCTGCTGGAGGTGAGTGGACTGTATCCTCACTGCTTCTCGCCTACGTGACAACAGCGCCTCAGCCTGGTCAATGAGCAGTGTGTGCATTTCCATCTCTGCTGCATTAATGAGTACTATCTGGAAAAAAGCAGAGTCAAATAGCAACAATCAGCTTGTTTTACATGCAAAACAGATCGATTATTTATTCTACAGGCTGGATAGAAAGACCCCTATCCATGATGCAGAAAACGTAGGCTGCAAAATTCCATTTTTATGCTAAATGAATTATGGTACTACATTATGAATTTAACAAAAGGTCAAGTCACCGCAGTTATTTCATCCTGTCAAATTCAGTCCACAAATGAAAGACCAGTAGGGGGCACTCCTTCCTTATACAGACACAGCTGTACAATAGTCTGTGGTACTTTATTTTGACTTCATGACAGGTATGATTATTCAATAAATTGTATATTCAACAATTTCTTATAAAATGAGTTTTGTGTTGATTTTGCCCAACTGCAGGCTAATGTAAGCATTCAAAACATGTTTACGGTAAACTATAGGCCAGACTATGGTGTTTGTTAGGTTACATGTACTTTATTACATTGCATTTTCCCCTTACGATATTTTCACCTTTAGATAGATTTATTAGAATGCAACCCCATCGTAACCTGGGGACAGTCTATCTGTGCACGCACACACACACACACACACACACACACACACACACCAAACAACATTTGAGGTTCTAAAAGTGCCACTTTAAGATTACAGACAATCACAAAAAACTTACTAAAGGGGAGGACCTGCCCCTGAAAAAGTCTCCGTACGGCACCTTTCCATCCTGCTATCCACTTGCTGCAAAGATGCTTTGACAATAATATCTCCAGCTAAGCACCTCTGACACTGATACGTGGCGAGAGTTTTGATGCTAAACATCTTTAGACTGGAGAAGCATGTCAACTACGGCTGAGTAGACGCCACTGAGAAATCAAGGGTTTCATCAAGCGGTATAGGTGCCTGAAACCTAAGAGCGTTCACTGTGGCAGCCCACCTTCTCTGTAAGACACTCAGTCAGGTTCTGCACGTAGACCCTCATGCCTCTGTAGAACTTGTGCTGTTCGTCGGAGGAGCCGCTCTCCAGCAGCTCCGAGGAGGCCTTGGCACTCTCCATGTCAAGCTGCATTCTCCGGTGCTCTGCCTCATGCGCTCGGTGCACCTCTCTCAATGACTCCAGCCTAGAGGAAGAATCCAGATCATCAAGTGGCATGTCAACCAGCATCACGTAGCCAAGCATCCCTGGTCTCTCCTATGTAGCTGCAAGCCTCTTAAGCCCAGCTGGAGAGCTGCAGATCCCCTGAATAAGTTATTAGCCTACAGGAGAGTTAGTCTTTCTTTGTGAACTCAATCTTGATTAACATTTGGGGTTTCCAAAATATCTGATCTAATGCGCATAATTCAAAGAAATCCGAAATTTGTCAGAGTGTGTCACTTACCTCCCGGTTATTCTCTTTTTTATGACATCAATGCTGACTGCCGGAAGGGATTGGGGAATATCGACTTTCTTCTTCGGCTTGACAGTGTCCCGGGAGTCGCTGCTGTCTGGAAACTGAGCATGTACAGAAACTATGCTGAAAGAAAGCCAGAGAGCTTTCACCTGACACTAAAGACAAGTTATTGAGTAACAGACACCGACATTCTCCCCTAAATTTACACGGCCGAGTCAACCATTCATGTGTTGCTTCATCGAATTAAAGACAAACATTTCTGCAGTGTGGATTTTCTGTGTCATTAACAAGCCTGCAGTAGAAACGCATTACATGACAAAGAAGGTCACCAGCACGGCATTTCCCGTCAGCAAACTAAAGCAGAATCAGGCTGTTTAGCAGATTGGAAAAGCTTGATGTGCAAGTTATGCTTGTTCTTCAACAACTGGAAATTAGACGGGGTGGGGGGCAGTGTGTGCCTCAGTGGGTTAGGACTCTTGGCCCATGATCAGAAGGTCACCAGTTAGAATCCTGTGGTCAGCAAACTGATGCCACCACTGGGCCCTTCAGCAAAGACCTTATCCCCCAGCACCAGAGCCGATGCTCATTGACTGACCCTGCGCTGTGACCACCAAGCTTGGTCTCACCTCTACATATGTCTGTGTCTCATGGAGAACAAAAAGGGGTATGTGGAAAGAGACTTTCCCCATGGGGATAAATAACAACACCATTCCATTCCATTGAATTCTGTTTCTGTTCATTTTTGCTTTAGAAATACATATCCAGCATCACAGAATGCTTACAATGATTCCTGAAAATAGCTTTTTAAAAGTCATTACATATATAATATCACGGCGTTTAACCAGTTACGGAATTCAGAATCAGAAAAGCTGAAGGAACTGAAAGATCATTATACATGAGGTTTAAAACTGCTGGTAGCTTGGAGCCTTGGCACATATGGGGGACGGTGGGGCAGCATGCCAGCGGCTTATTGGCTCACCGTGAAGATAGTACCACGTTGGTACTACCAACTAGTACTCATGGGAGCTCACCTTATGTCTTCTGACTCCTTTCCCAATTTGCTGTTCCTCCCACAGGGTCCGATCATCTTCCTCCTCGCTGTCCGGGCTGCCGCTCTCGCTCTCACTCCCTCCTGCAAAAGCAGTGATCAGAATCACAAGGGAGGCCCAGCCATACAATACAGAACATCAAGCAAAATAGGAAAAAAGTGAAACTATGGTGAAATAAGCAGATGGATGGATGGATGGATCTTGCCCCTAAGGATTCACTTTCTATATATACACAATACATAATTTTCCCCATGGCTGCACCATTAATGGTGCCCACTTAAGATGTCTCTAAAATGACAGCCTCACCAATCTTCTCAGCTATCCTTTCCCTGATACTTTTCGACTTGGGCGCAAACTGGATGCGACGCTGGTGGTCATCAGGCTCGTCATCGCTGTGCTTCCCGACAAAATCATCATCATCCTCCTCTTCATCCTCCCCTTCACCAGAGCTGCCCCCCTGATTGCCATCTAGGGGGATGTAGTCCTTCTGGGTTCTTGCTTTCCTCCGATGTTTTCTAGCTGCACGGATTTGTCGAGCGTCCGGGATGACACCTACACTGAACACAAAGCACTGCTACTTACAGAACACACAGAACTGTAATGCAACTTAAATATTATAAATGTAATCTTATGTGATTTAACACACTTTCGATGCAAAATTATTTTATCTGATTACCATTATATATCAAATTATTGATGTATGATAAGGATAGGTATCAGTATTATGAGTATACTTCAGTCACAACAAACCTGGCCTTGGTTCTGATGTTCTGGAGGGGGTAGATCGTGGAGAACTAGAGTCATTTTCACTCCTTCGCATCTCTTCATCCACTTCAAGGCACTTGGAGTCCTCTTCGGAGGACAGGTTCATCGCATCTGCATCTTTTTGTACTTAAAAAAAGAACCGCGAAGACAAATTCCGTGTTAGGTACGCAGATGAAAAAGTTATATTTTGTAGATGCATACATCTTTGCGATTACCTTTGGGATGCAATTCTTTCGCAGGAGAATCGTCTTTCTTCCTTGCTTTGAAGACGACCTCTTTTTCGGCGGACTTTTTCACTTTAAATTCACAAACATCCGCTGTCCAGAAACAGACAGGTCATTATATGTGTCTGTTTGAACACATGGTTGAACCGTGTACCAATAGATTGGTATATAATGTAGACCAGAAGTCGTTGTCATCTATTATATGTGCCCCTGGGAAATAAACTTACCTTCTTTGTCATCGGAGAAGCTGAAAATGTTTCTCTCCAGCTTCGCCGGATCGTCTGTCTTGGATCGGGCATCTTCGCAGTCACTGGAATCCGCCTTAGGGATCACTACCTCCGGCCGCGAACTGCAAGAAACTCCCCTGTCTTGGCTTCTATGGGAGGCCAGCGCCTCTTTTCCGTCTTCCGCACCGTTCTCATCTTTATTGCCTTCTTCTTCGTCACTCGATTCATGTTGCCTCTGCCTGAAATTTCTTTTAGGCCTTTTATTAAACATGGTCCAGTAAATAGTAACTTGCTGTAATTCTGGTGCTTTCAGTATGAAACCACTTTGGGAAACATCTAAAATGAAACAACGGGGGAGTAGCCTACCTAAATTATTTATTTGGTGTTATTCTGAAATACAAGTCTACGATTTTTTTACAGGTGATATAAATGATAAACATTAACTTCTCGATATATGGATAATCACACTCAAAATAATCCGTCTGGCATATATATAAATATATAGTAATATTGGTATGTCAGACTTGCACTGCATTGTGGGAGATGTAGTTTGGTTCTGTTGCTTTACAGATTATCAACTACTGTTATACGATTTTTAATCATATATATTAATTAATAGTACATTTTATTCTTACGCTAGTCTTTATGTTAGTATAAAGCCAGTAATTAAATACGCAACCAAAATGTAACTTTATTTTACTGCTTTGAGTTAAATCTTCATTTACATTTTTGTTTCAAAATGCACAGACAAAATCGCTGAGCTCAAGGTTAAGACTGGTGCAATATTGACACACAAAAACATCATTCGTGCATATATTTGATTTAAGCACATTCTCTGATTATTTTAAAATGGCTAGAGACCGTAATAAACTGTTCAGGTCCATGCCATTGTATTCGAACTATAGTTTTGAGTTAAACCACGTTTTATACAAACTAATTGTTTAGACTCCCAATGTAACTGCATTTAAAATTGTCTTAGAAATCATTATTCAACGTCATATGATTGGTCTAAAGCAGATTACACAAAGACAAGGCTTTCATATGCAACACAGTGTAGATGGCAAGGTCAATAATTGCAGTAGCAAGTTTATAAAGACCCCGCCTCGCGACCCTGACCAAGAGGCAGTAGCTAGTAGAAAACGAATGGATGTTGCATCTTGTAAAGACATGACGGGAGGGTGAACTTGGTTTGTCGCTCCAATAGTGGGCAGTAACCGCCACCGAAATAGTTCCAAATGACGAGAAAAAAACATCCAGTAACTTAGATAAATATAGGAAGCATTGGTTAAGTTATATTTTAAAGTGGTCGTTTTAAGAATGCATGTTTTACGTTTTACGGTATTCATTTCTATGTTTACAAGTGATGGTCATGTGGAATCCACCAACCATGAAGGATCTCCCCCGAAAGCAGTAAAAATGTTACCATCACGTACAAAACACCATAATAACATTAAAAAGTTCATTCTTAATCCAGAATGCGGGGATTATTCATCACAGAATGTGCGTATTGTAGTCTAACAAACTGGTAAATTGCGATTACTTCCAGCAAATTTTAATATTTTGATCTAGATGTTCATTGTGGTGCTTAACGCCGGAGCTGTTGATACCCCGATTTTTTCCACACTGATGATTTAGGACTTTGGGGTGTGACCAGTAAATGAAAAGGGGGCGGTATGCGGCATGTATGCTACTGGTTCTACGAGACAGATTACTCTCCTCCCAGTTCGTGGCTGGATTAAAATCATGCGCTGTGCAAAACTCAGTAATTGTCAGCCATGTTTTTGCTTACATATTGTCATCAGCAACAGGTTCAACAGCAGATTAGAAATGTAATTCTTGTAATCAGCTGTTGCTCCTGTAGGTTATCAGTGATTCTCTTAGACGATTCTTGACGTAGCACCTGGCGCTGGGATTAAAGACTTCAGAAGGCCAATACTGCATGTTTTTCCTCTATCTTATAAATGTGAGTATTACCCGACTTATAGTTTAGCTATTATGACATAAAATGTACCCGATTAATATTTGTTTTCCGGAGGGAAATGTTGATGCTGTTTTGTTCGATCAGTTGTTTGCAGTGCCGCCCGACTAAATAATAATGACTGAAATGGAAGTATCTTAAGGAAGTAGAGAAATTAAACAGTGTCGTTTGCTATTAGTGGTTAAGTAAATATGCATATTTCTCGGAAATGAAGAAGACGTTGTCTTACATCAGCAAGAGGGGAGTTTTACTCAAAATATGCCAAAGTGGACGTTTGAAGTCGAATAGATGGCCAATGTTAATATTGTAAATGAGGTACGCAAGTGTCGCAGTTTACAAAGTTTAGACGAGGATAGTTTTAAAGAATTACGACTGCTGTAATTTACAGTTCATCAATAGGACATCGTGCGGATAATTTCGAAACGTCAGCGCTACACTGCAGGAAGAAACAATCACCAATTAAGCGAGTGAACATATTGATATGTTTGGTTTTTAATGCCTTATTCTTTGACGTTAGAGGGCATATGCTGGCATACAGCGTTGCAGGAAAGTCAATATTGCAGTGTTCCGGTACAAGTGGATTTAAAATAAATAATTCGCGGAAAAAACAAACGTGGTATATTGTTTGTGTTTCTGACGTGTCTGTATCTTTTAGATGTTTTAAATATCCTGCTGTTTGGCACCACGCAACGCCATTTTCGCAAATTAAATGACTTGTAATCCTTGATTCTTGTTTTGATAACCATTCGACCCAAATGTGGCGTAAAATGACGTGTGTGTGTGTGTGTGTGCGCCCTTCGAGATAAATGCTTCCTTGTTTGTTGAAAGACATCTTTCATGTCATGATCATTATTTATGCAGTGACTTATTGGGGAACACATCACGAAGTGTTTAAGTATATATGACTATCGTGATTAAACATGATTAATTGGCCTCTTAGCGGTAATTGCATGTGGATAATGCGATATCAAATACTTGGGTGATTTAATTGCAGCTTTTATTATACATTACCTGATGCATTTTATGATGGTAGTGAGTCAGTACTTTGTGAATGTCTCCTCCTCAAGAACAATATAAATAAGGAATGGGATAGCATAATCACACTGTATATGTGGACATATTTCTTTCATCATGTAGTGATATTTGCTTTAGAAAGAACTGCTTAATGAATGCAGAATGAACAGCAGGATGTACTTATGCATTAGGACTCCACATTGTACACAAGTGCTGGAAGTGTAAATACAATTTTAAATAGCATTTACAAATCTGTGGAATGTCTGTTCAGTGTTTTTGCATACGGTACTTTGTTTCAGTCACTATACTATCGACTCCAGCGTCAGATCGACTTATTTGACTCAGCAATTCAGCAGTCAGTGAATGTGGTTTAGGTGCATTCTTCGTGTCATTTTCCTTTTTGTGTTTCTAACATATTTATTAGAGGCTGGAACATTCATTTATGGATAGTGACACCCTGCTTGGATGTGTCTGGGTGGAGCGTGTCCATTTTAAAAGAACTGATGTTGTGTTTTAGTAGAGAAATAATGAATGCATGTATGTATGTATGTAAGAACAACAAGGTTTTTGGGATGTACCTTTTCACTATTATTTAAAGTAAAAAAAATGTATGAATTAATTTCTCCTTGGTTCTTGTATGAGAATTCTGAGTAATGGCCTTCCTCGTTTAATGGTTGTTAAACGTGTGCAGTATTTCATTTCCTGTTGTAATACTTGGTCACCAATTATACTTGTTTGCTTATATGAGGGAGGAGACAACTCTTGTGTGTGATATGTCCTTAAGGTAGATTGTTTCAGTTTCCTTGTCTGTGATCAGTATGTAAAAATAAACAAATATTGCTATATTGGGTTACCTTTTCACAATTGCATTTAGGTATAAGCTCATCACATAGGATTCACTATATTTTTATGATGATTTGGAGCTTTGCAGTTTGACCTTACTCTCAGTGAAAATGATTTTATTGCGTTATTTTTCTGACTTGTTTTGTTACCCTTTATCTTCAGTGGGACTCCTAATCATAATTAAAGATTCCAGACTTGCCCCAGTTTTGCTTAAAAACATTTAATTAAAAAAGTATAAATGTCTCTATTCCATCACTTGTGACTGTTTGGCTGAAACAGCACCTATTGAAATTTTGTGCATATTATTCTACCTATATTAAATTAGCATATTGTTGGCATTGAATGTGTTTCTTGAAAATATATTGAAAGCTACATATACATAAATGGTTTATGCTAGTGTTTTAAATCATTTTTGGAATATCCTTTGCAGCAGTGGTAGGGAAATCATTTTTGCATGGAAGACTGGAGTGATTACAGTTTTTTGGGTTACCTTTCTGTTAGCGACTGATTTACACCTTGGGCATCCGATGAACTTGGATCCTATTCTAATAATAGTCTTACTAAAGCAATTAAGAGCTGACGTGGAGTTAAATTCAGCATGCCCTGTGGCCCTCCGTGGGCCGTGGTCGCTTTCCAATGTGACAGAGGTTGCCTTTATTTCATACAGTCTAGACTGAAGAAAATTATTGGTGGCTGGATATTTTAAAATTTAAAGACAGTCCCTTTTTGGAAGTGGTCTTTATTCTTATTGTCCAGCATCTTGGTCATAGGCTTTTAATCATCTGATTTAATGCTGTAACAACAGACATCCATCCTTGAAGCCAATAAAGACAATAATTCTGACATCCACCCTGGGAGATCCAAGGACTCTGTCCTGAATTTAAAAGAAGTGTATCCATTGTCAAGCACTTAAAAATGTAAAGGTAAATTGCAAGGTTTCTCACTAATATTAAATTAGAAAGGGACCGGTTAGGGAACATTACAGCGGCTCATTAGGTAACATTGTGAGCTTACACCTTCAGGGCAGGGAATTTGATTACTGACCCTTCTGCAGTCCAAAAACATATAGTTAGGTGGATTTGTGTCTCTAAATTGCCCATTCAGTGTGTGTGGCTTTGTGTACATTGTGTGATTGGCCCTTTGCTCACGGTGATAGGTTCCATGCCCACTGCAGCCCTGTATTGAATATGCAGTTATGGAAAATGTATGTATGGATGGGGGTGCATTAAACGAACCTGCCCAGTGGATCATATGTTTGCATGTACAAAATCCATATAGTGAAGAAAAGACTTGTCCAGAATTTGCATTTCTTGGTATATACTCCCGATTCCTGGCTTCAGTAGTGCAATATAATCTGTGCATTAAAATATGTGTAAATGAACTCAAATCACATACTAAAATTGCCGCTGTGGGGTTTTATGATAAATCTAATTAAACTTTTATACCACAGTCCTCCTGTGATGATTTTTAACAATTATGCCTCCTCCATAAAGCTGTTCTGAAATGACTAGATTCAAGCTGATTTCAGGTCCTTTTTTTGTATAGGCAAGGCATGTGTAGATGTTACTACTTAAAATTATGCCTGAATCACTTTTTGTTTGCACATATACCTGTATGATAATGTCAGTAATAATAGATGCATTTGGAAAGGGCATTGCAGTATTACTGTGATAGCTTGACTGGGAAAAGTTACAGCAAACAAATAACTAGTTTGTTCTTTGCAGTTGGATTTTATTTGTTTTGTCAATAGTTCACAGATCACTAATTAAGAATTTGTTGGGAGTGGGAATCAGCATGCAACAGTGTAGTAGTAGGACCAGGGCTGGTCATATATGTTGTATGTCATCATCGTCCATAGCTGAAGGTATGCAGCACTGACGCTTGGTACTGCACTTACATTTAAATAGTCCTGGTTGGCTTTCATGTAAGTTTGATTTTGTGCAGTAGTCAGTGTTTGAGTGGGAGGGATTTTGGTCAAGAGTTCCATCAAGTCTTGAATAAGTCTTTAGTCTTATTCAGCTGTCAGCATTGTGTCTGTATTTCTTAGTGGGTATATGCCAAGTTTATTAGTTAGGTGGTTAGAAAGAACTGAAATCGGCGGGGAATAAAACTGATAAGCTTTTGTTTTCCTTTTTTAACACAAATTTGAGATGGTTTCCGGATGATTGGTTGTGTTATGTAAGCCCACAGAATGAGAATTAGAATGTGCTGCCTGATAGGCCAAGCTTGAGCAAGCTTATGTGTACTGGGATCTCACACGATAGCCTGGAACAGGACGGTCAATGCGTACTGTGCCTGTCTCGTTATGATGATATTCATAGCTCAGCTTTTGTATTAGGAGTCATGTAATTAAGGGATTCCAATGGTCCTCAAAGGTCAGATAAATCTAGCATCCAATTGATGCCTTGCAATCGGGGTAATTGCATTAAATAATGTCAGAGAGTGCACAGATGTTTTTTGAAATAGGTTATGCTGATGTTCCAAAATACAATAGCAGGGTTCCACAGCAGAGCAAGAACCCTATGCTAAATGTCACCCCCCCCCCAACCCCCGACCAATTTTTATTAATTTTTTTACCAGGGGGCAGTGGCCCTTGGTTTTGTCTTATTGCTAGAATTTGGCACTTGGGGGGAAATAATTGGGGAACACTGTGCTATAGGGTATGCTACCCCTCCCAGGAGAGGATCCATAGGGTAGTGTTACCCCCACCTCCAAACTCGTCAGAGCGAAAAATATACAAGGTGGACCCCCTTGGTGTGTGTCTTACAGCACCTAAAAAAATAACAGCAGTCCGCTTCTGCCATGTAGTGCCCTAATCAGAGGTCTCACTGAATGGTTTGGAAGGGGAAACAGGCCCTAAAGAGAATAATAAAAATGGCAGAAAAGATTATTGGTACAGGTTTCCGCATGATGGACTCTCTGTTCACTAGTCATGGCCAGAGCAAAGCACAGTGAATTATCAGAGTCCCTCTCCACCCTGCCTACCACCTATTCACCTGGCATGACACCAAACATCATTTTAGGTGTCACAGACCAAAAAGTTCCAAAGATCAGGTTCACTAATAGCTGCTTCTGCTTCCCTGTGTGTTCTGTGTGTAATTAACAGGCTGTGTGATCTCCACAAAAGGCTTCCTTTATAACTATACTCGTACAGATGCTTCCTGGGTCCTGAAGGCCCGTGTTACGATATTTGGACTTTACGATGGGTATCCAGTTCCATTCTATTTTTCACTTTCAGTACATTATTCAATAAATTACATGAGATATTCAGCACTTTTTTTTATAAAACAGGCTTTGTGTTAATGATTTTGTAGGCTAATGTAAGTGTTCTAATCATGTTTAAAGTAGGCTAGGCTAGGCTAGGATGCCTGTTAGGTTAGGTGTACTGTCTTAAAATGCATTTTCACTTTACGATATTTTCACCATACGATAGGTTTATCGGAACGTAACCCCATCGTAATCTGGGGCCTGTACTACGAAGTGGGTAACTTGTCAGATTTAAGGTAGTCTGGGCAAAATGTACATGAACAAATATGAAGTCCATTTGAACTGTGGTACCTTAAATCTGATAAGTTACCCCGATAAGCCAGTAACCATCTTTAAAAGGCCATCTTTTTATAAGCTTATGGATAACAGAGATGTTTTTGAGGAAAAAAGTTGTTAGAATTAAGTTACGTGTGGATGATATGTTTGTCAGTGACCTGCATGTGGAAGTTGTCCCAGAATAAGGAATCCCCTGCTTCAGAGGCCGTTGGCTTCCCCAGCTGCTGATTACTGCAAGCACGACTGGATCAGCATTTATAGGAAAACCTATGAAAATATTGCAAAGTCTGGGGCTATTTAAAGAAACAGTACTTGTTCACAACAGCCAGTGTCTGTGTCAGGCATTTTTCAGGTTTCTTTTGTCTCGCAATACCAATGTTTCCCTCTGATGTCATCCACCACTCCAGGGAGAAAATGGGAGGAAGTTGCAGGATATGATCATGTCAGCCTTTTTACTGTATTCCTTTACTGCTAACAACATTTCAATGCTAATTTATGGAATAATAAGCAGCTCATCAGTTTAGGTATTCCTATATGTCTCTCTTTTGCCAGCTTCACATAAAAAACCTAAATTAATTAGCCTCTGCTGCCAATGCCAATTTGTGTGTACCAGGCAAAACTCAGCGGTTGATTAATAGATTGGCTGTGGTCTGAACTGGGTATGTAAGGTACACGGCACTACAGATTGCAGTTCGGTGTCAAAACCCCAATTTTATGCATTTTCTTTCTTGGCTGGAGGCACTTCATATTGCTTTACGGCTTTTCTGAATTGCTAAAACACTAAACCCCATTTTAAAAACGAAACTGTCAACTATCAAAACTCCTTCATCAAATCAATCCCACAGGTGATCCCCCTAAACACTGTTCATCAGGTTAGACCCAATTTGCAAATCTGAATCTCCTATTCAGCAAAGTTCTAAACACATTCTCACTCACGAGACATATTTGGCAATGTGGTGCACTTATACCCCGAATGGCACACAAAGACTCCAAACGTTACGCACAACTAACACCCTGTTTTCAACATTAACGCAATACCACTCAAAATTGCCTACCCATGTCCAATCGGTGGTGTGTAGAACCCAATCAATAAACAGGATATAAGCCTAGTCAAATGCAAGTGGCATGAGTTAATTCAATGATGGAGCTCTACAACTATAGAGGAAGAGGAGGAAGATCAAGAAGAAAAGCTATAATTTCAAATGAAATTGGAGCAACAATCATAGATTATGTTCTGGTTCATGGCATGACTGATGGAAGCAGGGCAACATGTGGAACCAAATCTAAGTAGGTTCTCAGTGGCCTCCACAATCAAGACTTTCAGTGAAGAAAACAGGTAAAATGTATTTCTGTCTCTGAGAGTTACAGCATGATTTTAGTCTCAGTTAATCATTCCACCAATTTCTAGAAAGGGGACAGAGAAAAATAATTTCTTTATGGTACTATATCTATTTGTGTACAATAGAGAACATTTACAATACAGCATATATGCTTCCAAAAAAATTATCTTTTTGTAGAATTGAAAGACAGCCACATGAGGATGGAAAGACACGTGTTCACACATCAACAGGAGACACTTATTGTTGATATGTTCCATCAAAGTCATGCACGTCGATTGTGTGAAATGCAACAGCAGATTAATCAAGACAATATGCATTTTGAAGGAATAAACAGTGAGTCAGTCAACAATTGACCATGTCTTGCAACGCAACCAGATAAGGATGAAACAAGGCTATAGGGTACTGTTTGAGCGGAACTCTGAAAGAGTGAAAGAGCAATGATATCAATATGTGCAAGTAAACTTTTATAGTGAACTCAGCACTAGCATGTATACTGTGCTCTACGTAAGCAGCACGTGTACAGAGACAAAGTACATCATACTGTGTCATTTACAGAACTGAGTAGTCTAGTTTTACTGTGTATAGAGAATTTTTGAACTTGTATCCATGAGGCTTCTCCATTGAGTCATCTTCATGGAGGAAGATGGATAGTCTCTGGCAAAAGGGAGAAGGACAGGTCGCAACATTTGGTCAACGCGCCATGATGGAAGTGCCTGGCCAGTGTGGTGGACATGTGAGTGCATGTGCTGCCATCAGCAGCTATGGGGTTGGCCACCACCATATATGACCCACTAGTAACACTGAACTTCTGTTAACATTCCTGGTTGGTCTAAAGGATGCTTTGCTTGAATATGAGCAGAGAGGTCATGAGCAGAGAGGTCACAAGCAGGCAGAGCATCCCATGTATGTTATGTCTGCCTTCCACCATACTATCCCTTTTTAAACTCTACTGAGGATTTTTTCTCAGCATGGCAGTGAAAAGCATATGACTGGATCCCCTACACACAGGAAAATCTAATCCAAGCAATGGATGCAGCATGTAATGATGTAGGAGCGCAGTCTTGCCAAGGCTGTATTCGGCACGCCAAAGAACTCATTCCATGTTGCCTTTCAAGGGAGAACCTTGCCTGTGATGTAGATGCAGTCCTGTGGCCTGACCCAGTGCAGAGACATGATGCTGTGGTAGAATGAATGATTGATTTTGCTGTAAAAATATATAAAATCATATAGTGCAATTTTTTGTTTTGCTGCAAGTTTTTTTTTTGTTTAAATGTAAGCTTTCATACGTACGGGAATATCCTAAATAAAGATTATTTTCCTGTTACCCGGAGTGTTTTGCATTTATTTATGTAGTGTGTAATGATAGCTGAGTAGTGTTTATACATTGGCTGGTTTTGTGTATTTTGTGTAATGCTGCTTGATTTTGAGTAAAGCTAAAATATTTTTGGGTCAACCGTTTGATTTTGCAAGACAAGTCGAAGGTTTTGTGAGTGTAGCAAGAATTTTAAGGTTTGTGCCTAGTGTTTTGAGAAAAGGAGAGGAGATTTTAGGAAATTCAACAATTCAGAAAAACTGTAAAAGAACAAAGGAATCGGAACAAATTCTGCGACAACTTTAGTTACTTTTTCATGATAATTGATTATACACGGGAGAGCTATCTTTGCGCCAGGTTTAAATAGTGAGCGGAATCGTCTGTAAAATCTTGTCAGTTTTCACTGTTCTTCCTACAATTGCAATTATTTGTTTTCCCTCCTTATTTATCAAAGAAGAGGTGAAGGAATCGTACGAAGACCCATGGAGGTCCGTGACCATGAAATAACGTCCTTCTGCCTTGTTCACTTGTCCCATTTCTTTTTTTCACATTTCTCTCTCCTCTCTCTGTCTGTGTGTGTTTCGCGGATCATACAGGACTGGCCCCCGGCGGCGTACCGTTTGCTGATTGGAAATTCATGCGAGGCTGGAGGTCTGTCTTTCTTCCCCTCCCTTTTTCGCTGTGCTCTTTCTCCCTCTCCCTCTTTTCCAAACCCCCCTCCTCCTTTATTCATAGAGCCGGAGTAAGCTGCGCTCTGCCCTCCTTGCATTATTAATGGCAGGATGTTTCTCTCTCTTCGTCCCTCCGTCCGTGTGTGTGTGCGGGCGCGCCTGTGTGTGTACATTGCAGATGACTGCAAGCTAGCCAGCTGAGCGGAGCTCCGGGACGGCCGGCTCACTCCTCCCCACCTGCAGCCATGAATGGTAAGAACACTGTGCCAGTGTGCAGCGGAGCGTGTGTGTGTGTGCGCGCGCGCGTGTGTCCGTACGTGTGTGAGCGCGACGGAGTGAGACGCCGCGTTTACTCCTTCCTGAGTGCCTCAAGGACAGAAATGAGAAATTAGCGTGTGTATCATGGTGTCCCTCTTACCTATGGTGGGGCTTGGAGTGATACTTACTGCAGAGTGCTGGCTAGCCTTATAAAATGCTCGTGCCTTGGGGCTTGGGATCCCCTGGGCTTTTAACCGGCGGCGCTGTTCTGGTGGCGTTTACCTGGCTGAAAAGTGAAGCGGTCTAGATTAATGAACAAGCAGCAGCCTCCTGACATTGTAACGAATATCGTTTATTTATTTGTTTTTTTTTTACTGTTTGCGTTATTAGCAGAAGCAAAAATCACAGTTGTGCTGCCGACCCTATATTTTCCATGGCAGTAGGAAAAAAAACTGTGAACCTGTGAAGCTGCTGCTGTGTGAAAAATGATGCTGTCCCCTTTTTTTTCAAAAGGGACGGTGGAATTAGTTGAGACGGTTTGGGATTGGAGGGGCTAGGAGCTGCTTTGTGATGCTGGACGGATTGAGGGTGTGTTGGGGAAAAACGTTTGCTCACTTCTAGGAAACGTCCTTGTAGGCTTTATGCTAGCAGATCTGTTTGTTTCTGCTGTCGGATAATTCTAGAAACAGGGCTTTCTGAGCTGTTTTGGGTAATTTAAATAGAAAATAAAAAATAGTGCAGCTGAAAATTGCGAACTACTGATCAGAACAGTGATTGTCTGCTGTGGGGAACAGCACTTGCATTTATGAAAAACAGGTTTGTATTCATAAGTAATTATTGATTGGCAGTCTTGATTTGATGAGTTATTTTATAACTAACTTTAATAGCACATCTTAGATGCAGGTCCTTGCAGGCCAAGGTGTGATGGTCGGTGAAAATTAATTACTTGTCCAATCAGCTGTACAGAATCCCTTGAAACATAACAAATTATCAGATTTATTTATTTATTTATTTTGCTTCTATGTTCAATTAATCATAGTGTCCTCTTTTTCTCACCATGAAAGTGGTCGTGGTGCTAAAAATAAGATTACTGAAAACTGCCAGCTTTGCTCTGGAGGGAGTTACCCAGGGTCCAACCAAACAGGTGTCAGTGAATGGAGTGTGTGAATATGGGTACGTGTTTGGGTCCTCGGCGAAGATGTTAAGGTAGCTGATAATGTCTTTTTTTTTAACACCGTAGTTTTGAACCTTTCCTTTGGCTCCCTCCCTTGTAGCCTCCCTTGCTAGCTAGGTCTACCAGTAGGGCAGCTGGGAATCTTTGCTGTGTTTCTCTTCCTGCATTCCAGCAGGAAGAGAAACAGGGGTGAATTGGTTTTTATTTATTGTGCGTTGGATTACTGACAGAAGCTGGTTCATTCTTCCGCTGGCCCCTTTAAAGGTGGTATTATTTGTGAGCATCTGATGTTGAGGAACAGGAACTACAGTGTGGTAATGGGCGTCCCACCAAGCATGGAGATGTGGAGGACATGTTTAGAACAGGAAACTTGGTGAAACATTTCTGTTGGGTTGTGGTCATTTGCACAGGGAGGCCTGTGCGAGTCTGTCTGAATATGGAAAGTATTAATCAGACTGGTCAGGATGACCCTTTATTGTATTACTGTTCTTTGACCTTGTCGACACCATGTTACATAGTGATGTGTGTCTCAGATGTTTAATGGTGGGCACATAAGTTGGCACCTGGTTCTATCACCTGGTGGTGTTCAGGGTGTTTGGGTAGGCTAGTGTTTGTACTACAAGGATGAGATATCATTGCAGTTAAAAAAACCGACTGTGTTTGAGGTCAGGAGAAAGTCATACTGGTCACTCAATGGTTCATTTGCTTGGGGTGATGAGCTTTAATCCACTGTCAAGACTTTCTGAGAAGAAAACGGGTAAAATGTATTGAAAAGTGTTGTAAGAAACTATTTTTATTGTATGCTATAGAGACGTGTAAGTAATAGACTCTTCGGCTGTGCAGTTTTCTAATACCTCAGTTTTTTTCCCCCTCTTTTCCGAGCTGGTGACTAAGGAAAATTAAATTAAATGTTGACATTCCAAACATTAAGTATCAGTATTATAAAATAAATGGATTAATTAATCAGCTTTTGGCTTACTGTACAGTGAGCAGACAGAAACTAAAATACCCACAGAAAATTAATTAAAAGGAAATATTTCTTGTCTTGCAATAGTTCTGTGATAAGAGAATGAGCCATTCAGTAGCTATATCATGTAAGTTTTTTTTGTTTTTAGCATATAATGGTTCCTATTCACAGGGGCTTTTAAGTTAGCATTATTTTCATAAAACTACTGTATAAACGTTCTCTGATATACAGTGTAGTGTGAAATGTGTGACTTGTTTTCTTTATTGTAAATATAAAAAATTGCGTATGTTGGCAATTTATGGCAAAGAACTTCAATTACTTGAAAAAGGAGAGACTTTCGTTTCCCTTTTGCAGTTTCTATATGATTTTGCGTAATGTTTGTGTTTACAGGAAAATAAGGGACATGATGTCACTCATGTGGTATTTCTTGTAAGCACATATTCATATGCTGTATAAGAGTGTATCGGTTTTTTGCATAAATGTATGTCCTCAAGATATTTTTGTTGCCAGTTTGTGTTTTTTTTGTTTGAATAATACTTCTCTCTACATCTTTCTTTACTTGTCTTCCCTCCAACTTCTTTTCTTGCTTCCCCCCTGCTCTTTGCTTTCGATCTCGTTCCCTCTTTCATGCCTGGTCTCTGTCTCTCTCTTTCTCTCTTCCCTTCTCCCTCACTCTCTCTCTTTCCCCCAGGTCCTCACAGTATTTGGGCCATCACTACAGAAGAGAGGGGCAAGCACGACAAGCAGTTTGACGCTCTCTCACCCACTCTGGGATATGTGTCAGGTGTGTACGCCCCATTCACTAATAACCTTAACAGTCCGGTTGATATTGCAGGTTGCACCTACAGTTTGGTATTATAGCTGTGCTCTAATTACTGTGTTCTCGACCCCCCCCCCCCCACAAGGTTAACTTCATATTACATTTGTATTTCTTGATTTAGTGATGGCTTGCCTAATGTATGGTATGATTACCTGAATCAGGTAGAAGGTAGGCTGTGTATTCGTAGCATAATTTTTTGTAAATCTGTAATATCATTCTGAATGCCAGTTACGAATGGGCCAGTCTTATTTAGCTAGGAGGAAAACAGGTGCATTGCAACTGTAGCCATTTAATGCATAGGGGCTTTGATGTGGAGCATTGTGGTGAGGACACATTTAAGATAGATGTGCCACAATTTCAATTCCATCAGCAAGGGGTCGTTCACTTAACACAAACAAATAATCTCTGGATGTTGAGTTTATATATTTTTCCCCCTTACCCTAGTCTGTCCGTCAAAACGATTAAATCTGATACAGTGGCCGATTCACTTGTATTTCATGGTTTATATGAATCTTTTGCAGGGCACAGTGTGGCAGTGTATTCTGCTGCGCTGTCTGAAATAGTGCGCAGTGGTGCAATTGATAACGACAGAAGGCCTTAATTTCGTTTGAACTCCCATGTGAAGCTGCATGGGTGCTATAGAGATCGGCTTCAAGGAATGCGCGCAAGGAATGCGTGTTCTCTCATGGTACTGGGAAAAGGGTGATCGATCGTCTCACTGAGATGTAATTGGATAAAATTCCTGGCTGCTTGAGGAAGGAACCAGAAGCTGGGCACCATTTTCATTTTTAATTTTTTTAAAATGCCACTCCCCTATGCGATCCCGCCCACCCCGACTCGATAATGCCACCCGGCCTGCATTGTACTCTGCCAGCAACGCTTTCCCCATGTTCCCTCAAGTCCTTGCCTGGACATTTTGTTTGCTTAGCTTTTTTTTTCTTCTTCTTCTTCCCTCGCTCCTTATGCCTGCATTTCTTGTCTGCTTGTTCTCTTTCTCCGCCATCGATCCCTCTTCATATCCAAATTCCCCGCCGCCTTTCTTACTCGATCTGCTTCAGACAGCTTTCCCGTTTCAGGTTTACAGTTTTTGGTGTCGCCCCATGTCACGCAGCACCATAAATAAGTTTAGTTTTTATATCATTCCTAATACTGGATCTCGCAGGGTAATGCAGTTCGGAAAGTGGCTGGCTCATCATGTTCTCCTGTGTTGGGAGGGGGGGGGGTAGTTTTCCTCTGTCGCGTGCAGGTGTGCAAAACCCCAAGCTTCCTGTATAAGTCACTGGGCTTCTCACTTGCAAATGGTGTCAGACCGCCAGCTTCTGTCTAAATACAGATATATGATGGTAAAGTAAAGATGACCCAGTTTATTAGCCTTGCCGTTCTCTGTTTAACATTGGCTGGCTCCTCAACCCATGGTGGGTCAGTACTTCACCAAGCGAGGCCTGAGAGGATGGTAGAGGGCAGCATACCTGACGGCTGGAGCAGCTCGATGTTCCAGGAGAGTAAAGTCTCTGTGAATCTCATACTGTTTACTGTCCTCCTTTTATGCAGGGGATCTGGCACGCAAGTTCTTCCAGCAGTCCGGCCTTCCTGCCTCTGTGTTGACAGAAATATGGTGAGTCGCTCTTCTGCTTCTCAGCTGGGAATCCTGAGGCTGTTTGCTCCTTAACCATTAATATGTGATGATTACATAATTGAGCCCTGTTGTATGTTTTTACTGTATTGTATGGTCTAAAAATTGTATTTATCAGTCCAGTTCATATTTATTTTGTGTGCCTTTTTAATGTTTAATTGGCACTGATGAATTATAATCTCTTGCCTGTCCTAATTTGAAATAAATAAGCCCACAAGGCTATGTGTTTAAAAAAAGCTGTCACCCAGTATGAATTCTCAGCAAAACTAGGAGTTATTTCAAAATGCTGATGTCCACATTTTTTGGCTGGTAAATTGAGACGGCGTATGACATTTCTGGTAAAACGCTCTTATGTTTTAAGGCATTGTGGAGCACATCAGCTACATGTTTTTCGAGAGAATGGATATAGTCCTTTTGTTTATCCAGACCGAATACACCTGACACTGATTTCAGGCCAGAACCATATTGAATGTTAACCATATTAGCTGTTGTTTTGTTTCAATTTAGCCATCAGAATGAACTGACAGCCATAAAATTTCAAGATAATAAAATGGGCTGTGTATGAAAATGTTACAGATTTCAGTTGTTCCAGAATGTTACAGAAGGGAAGAGTAAATAGGCCTGATGTTTCTGTCACAGGACTCTCGCAGACGTCACCAAGGATGGGAAGATGGACAGGCTGGAGTTCTCCATCGCCATGAAGCTGATCAAGCTTAAACTGCAAGGCCAGAGCCTCCCCTCTTCGATTCCGATTGTTATGAAGCAGGCGTCCCTGCCAGGCCTCAGCTTCGGTATGTCCCCACACTGGGGGCCAAAATCGCCGTCATTCCCATTCCCAACTGACCTACGCAAAATGGTCTGACGCTGGGTAGTTTTTTGACCTGACGTCCTTTCTTCGGCTGTAGATTTGAAGACCTGGGTTGCTTGGATTTGGGAATTAGATGCTGAACAGTTACAGTGCCAGGGTGTGAAATGTGTCAATGAGGGAGAAAAAGGCAATTTGAGTATAATTAATGCAATTACTTTTCCTTAACAGATTGGCGTTGCTTAGAATAGCAATATTTTGAAGAAACAAGTTGTAATAAGTGATTTGTCTATATAAAATGAGGATTCTTTTGTATAAGGTATCTTTTAAATTTGGATAATTTGCATAAGAAGCTGGGGTAAAAATAAACTGTTGCCTTCTTTTACATATCTTCTGATAAATGGCAATATGTCAACTGGAAACTTTCATTTGCTAATTATCAATCTTCTTGAATGAAAACGCCTAGGAATTGGATCCATCCCAAACCATTCGCTGATGTCCAGCATGTCCGGGACACCAACCATGCCCATTGCATCCTCAGTGACCTCGATGGATCCAGTAGGTGCTGTCCCTCCACCAATAGCTTCCCTTCCGTTGAATATGCTGCCATCTCTTAGCTCGCACCCTCTGCCAAACGGGACAGCTGGTATCCTCCAGCCTTCCACCACCACCCTCAACTCAAGTAAGCAACATGGTCTATCAGCATCAGGTTACCACCTTGAGTTGGTTTCTCCCAAGTTTATGAGTAGACACCTGATTGTGGAACAACTGAAAAGAAGGTGATTACAGTATCTTCCACTGTTGATGGTCTGCTGCTGTCTTACAGCTCTCCCCAACTCAAACTCCTTTTCTTCCTCTCCACTGGGGTTTAACAACACTGAGATGACTAAAGCACAGTCTTTGCTGGACCTTGGATCAAGCAGGTAAAAATCCCCTAAAGGTATCTTCTGGGTCTTGTGGTTGGAAAGGTCTGAAACTTGAAATTCAAGATCGAAATCTGACCCAATTTATTTCAGCTCCAACTCGTCGTCCACAAGCTCCCCGGTGAGCAGTTCTCCCAAAGTGGGCGGTTCGGACTGGGCGGTACCACAGTCTTCTCGGCTCCGATATCGGCAGCAGTTTAATAGTCTTGACAAACAGATGACCGGTTACCTCTCAGGTAGGCCTCCTTACAATCCATTTGGTGCGCATTGAAATTCATTATGCTGTTGGCCCCAGGTTCTCATTTGTGCTGACTGTCAAATTTGATTAAAGGTCCTCAGGTGAGGAATGTACTTACTGCATCGCAGCTCACTCAGACGCAGCTGGCTAACATTTGGTAAGTGTGATGGTAGTCCTTTTAAATTCATTTTTATATGGAAACCCTTCAGCAATGTTGCTAAATATCTATTCAATGTGGCTGTTTATCGCAGATATTACTGTTTCAGTTGTTCCTGCCTGTACCTGCGTCTAGTAGCAACAATGATTCACCCCCATTGCAAATTTTTAAACATTCAAACCTGCGCCTTGCAGCCATTAAATAGGTCGCAACTCTCCGTTCCCTGTTATATTTTGTGAGATCTTTATTTTATTTGATAATGGGATCTTGCTTTTGCCGACAGTGAGGCCGTGTTCATTATCTGAACGGTGACAGTGTTAGGTTTTCATCCCCCACAGGAATCTGGCGGACGTGGATAAGGATGGCAAGCTGAAAGCTGAGGAATTCATCCTGGCCATGCATCTGGTGGACGTGGCCAAAATTGGCCAGCCGCTGCCCCTTACACTGCCTCTGGACCTCGTGCCGCCTTCATTTAGGTATGAATAATCTAGGTTCGAGACACGCTCTGCATGCTAGCAGTTTTTACGCTGTTATCATAATTAAATATTCCTTAAGGAAGAACTGAAGCAGTTTAAATTTTTCAACACGAGATTTTAATTTTATTCTTAAATATTTTAATTTATTTTTCTCCCCAAACATTCCATCTTAGCGTATTTTGTCAATCGTCATATTGATGTTTGAATTTTAAAACTGACCAAAATTCAAGATATATTTTAATGACCAGTATTTTGTTTTGTATCATAAATCGATACTGTGCTGCTGAATGTTATTTATTTCACCTTATATATAATACTGTGCAAATATTGTATAATCTGTATACAAATCATTATCATTTGCATTTTTTTAATTTTACTTCCTCAGGAGTGGAAACTTGAATGATATATCAAATGGAAACATTCCTTCTATCTATATTGGAGCCACTGAGAACTTTGAGGCAACGACGACACAGAAAGCTAAGAACAACGGTACGTGTCATTCATACACGTAACGCAATAATCATCTTCCAAGCTGTTTCAGATCCACCTGTCTGCAGAAATGTTGGTGAATTCATGCGTAGCCTCAATTTAGATTGTGGTATTAATCCAAAATAAAACCACTAAACTAAACTGTACTGTCAGTACTTGGTGTCTTAAACTCGGTGTTTATTAAGTTACACAGAGCTGCAAAGATTTTAAGTTCCTCTACAATCAGGGCATGTGTTGGGGATGATTCTATTATTTGACCCTTAGGGGGGGCCCAGCTCCCAGTGAGATGTACAAAGTCATAGTTATGATTCGCTACTGCATTTCCCGTGGGTTCTAGCATTCTAGCCTAGCTCTAGGTCTTAGAAGACTCTGTCACAAAGGCCCTCTAACAGAGCCCTAGAAATGCGCCTGGTCGATTGTTAAGGATTTTGAAGGACAATGAGCTGAGGCTCCATGGTGGCTCGCTCTCATTGGCTCAGCGACGTTTGAGGACAAGCGCAAGGAGAACTTTGACCGGGGCAACGCAGAGCTGGAGAAGCGGCGGCAGGCCCTGCTGGAGCAGCAGCGCCGGGACGAGGAGCGCCGGGCCCAGGAGGCACGTGAGGAGCAGGAGCGACGTGAGCAGGAGGCCCTGGAGCTGGACAGGAGGCGGCTACTGGAGCAGGAGCGGAGGCTGGAGCGCATGCGGGAGCTCGAGAGGCAGAAGGAGGAGGAGCGGCAGAAGGAGCTGGAGCGCAAGGAAGTGAGTGAAAGGCCTGTCTGAAGGAACCAAACTGAGGTCTCCTTTTTACACCCGGGGCCAGTGGGCTCCTTCATCCTGAAAAGATCCAAATTCATCTACAGTGTTAGACAGTGTGGGCAGGATTTCAGTAAAACTCACCTCCTCTATCTTTAGAGCTGGTGACTCCTCTATATGTACTGCATAATGATCCCGTGATGTTCCATAAAGGGTGGGCTGGTCCTCCACCATATATGAAACATTATAGTGTGATTATTTTATTTATATTCATTTTATATACATTCATCTGTTCGTTTTGAATATCTTCCACCTTTTGTTATTCTTGAGAGGGTCGGGGGGGGGGGGGGGGGGGGGGGGGGGGGGGGGGGGGTACTTAAGCCTATTAGAGGCAGCATAGGGTATAAGAGTTTCAACCCGGGCAGGGTGTTAGTGTGTCTTAATGGTTACTGGTTAATGGTTAATGAAATGAGTAATGAGCTGAGCATATTTACAAGACTTGTCATAACACATAAAACGTAATGGCTTTACAGAACTCATTTTCAGCATAATTGTTTTTCAGATTCCTTGTGGAAATACTTACTATGCTTGTCATCATATAGCCTTTGATTTTAGTGATCAAAGTAAATAAAAGATTGCTCTCCAACTTGGGAAAAACTTTAAATGGTTTGTGTTAAATCATAATGATGTAGTCTATACGCAGTGTGTTATATGTGTTTATGTGTGATATATTATTCTCTTTCAAAACCATCACTGAAGTTTTAAAGCCTAAATCAGCATCCAGTGCTTTATCTACACCGTTGGACAGTAGCGCTTAAGCGCAAGTTGTGTCTCTGTCCCCATGGCTGCAGGCAGCCAGGCTTGAGCTGGAACGGCAGAGGCAGCAGGACTGGGAGCAAAGGAAACGGCACGAGCTGCTGAGCCGCAAAAACCAGGAGCTGGAAGACATCATGCGGTTAAAGGCCAAGAAGAGGAACCTGGAGATGGAGCTGGAGGCTGTGGTGAGGATCACGCTTATTCATGTGACCTTTTCCATTTACTAAACCTTATATACTTGGTAGTATTTAGCATATCAGCATTTTGAAGTATCTTAAAAATTTATATGAATGTTAAAAGTTCAGTCGCTAACATTTCATTATCTGAACTGTGCGGCGTAGAGCAGTTGTTGCTCCGTGAAGCAGGATTTCTCAGTTAGCTGGGTTAACTTGAGCTACAAGTCATGATCGTCCAATAGGAATGCTCCTTACCTAGACTCTTATTGGACCATCATTAGTTCTATCTTAAGTTAACCCAGCTAACAGAAGTTCTGCTTTATGGAATGGAACACCCTCAAGAGATCGGCCCTTTACGGACAAGATTGCCTGTGTGTATGCAGGTTTTTGGGATTTAGGTCAGCTGTTCAAACCCAGGTGTGAGGACTCTTCAGTCAATCAGTCCTCTAATTGGGGAGTTGCAGCGAAAATCCACATTCACAACAGCCCTTTCTGGATAAGATTGCCCACCCCTGGTGTAGAGTGTAACTCAATAGCGGACATTTGCATGTTCAATGGCCTTGCAAAAATGCTCCTAGTAAAAGAAGTGATGCTTTGCACACTTAACAGGGGGACAAGCACAAGCAGATCTCTGATCACCTCCGGGACGCACAGAGTAAGAAAAAGATCCAGAAGGCTGAACTGGACCTGGTTAACCAGAGGCGGGACTGCCACATCATGGAGATAAACACCCTACAGAAGCAGTTTGAGGTTGAGTCACTGCGTTCAGTTCTTTTTTTTTTGTACTGGCCTTTTATAGGAAGCAGTGAACAATGTTTAGCAACAGTGTTTCCAGTTGATCAGAGCCAAAGTTAAAACCAGATCCACCCATCTTTCAGCTGCATATCTAGTATAGGGTCATGGGAGGTCTGGAGCATAGGGCATAAGCTGGGGAACTTTCGGGAAGCGATCATGGTCTGTGGAAGGGCACGTACACACAGTCACACTCTGTGGGTGATTTTCAGAGGCACCAGACTGCAGGAAGAAGGAGATGGCCAGAGGAAACGCGTGCGACACAGCTAGAGCATGCAAACTCTGCACATACATAGTCAGGGGAGGAATTGAATTGTAGACCATGAGGTCTGAGGCAAAGGAGCCAGTCACTAAAACACAGCCCAACAGCAGTTACACAATAAGAGGAGGTGAATTCTCACCTCCTCTTTCAACACATAAAACCTGGTCTTTTCATCCTGCTGATAATACCATATATATACACAAAACTGGCAGAGCTGTACAGTAACGTAAATTGTAAACATTTGGCACCCCATGGACTTTGACCAGTACAGCACATACAGTACCAAATATGCATTATTTTCAGTGGTGGGCATTTCAGGTCCAGAAACTACAAATCTGGACCAGGATTTTGTTTCTAGCAACTAGTTCAGTGTGACTGTCACCCTTTATGCTCAACTGGTTGCTTGAAACAATATCTTGGTCTGGATTAGAGGTCGACCGATATATCGGCCGGCCGATATATCGG